TGAACATTTTCTTTGAAATGCGTATGAGACCTTATCTCAAAAAGAGAAACAAAACAAAACCTCAAAAAACTGAACATTTTCTTATTTCCCAATAGTTTTTAATGAAATTTATAGCCATGTATATTTATTTGGAGGAAAAGGCTTTTTTCCTTTCTCATGGGATTAAATACTGTATGTGTTTTATGGGAAAAACACTGAATTAACTTGGTTGAAATTTTCTAGTATAGTTATACATAACAAAGAAATAATCTTCAAATGACTTCTATTAAAGTAAATGCTGTAACTTTATTTTGTTTATTTATTTTTTAATCTTTTTTTTGGTACTGAGGTTCAAACGCATGGTCTTGTGCTTGCCAGGCAGGCGCTTATACCACTAGCTAAATCCCCGGCCCTAATGCTGTAACTTTAGATTCTAACTTAATTAAAGCAGTGAGCACTGGAAGGAAGAAACCTTGATTTCTGATGGCTTGATAGAATGCTGGCACATCTAGGACCTAGAAAAATGAACAGTTTGCACAAATTACAGTTTAACGGTCACTACTGAATTTTTAGCACTATTACAACAATGTACATTCAGAACTAAATTCATAGAATATCTGTTTACAGTAAGGTTACTAACGACAGATTAGCAATAATGATTTAAGAATGAGATCCAGATTAATAAAATGCTTTAAGTGAGTATGGTCCTGTAGTTAAGAATATTACTTGATTTTCACATGAAAGTCAGAGTAAGTGAAATGACTTCCCATACATCAGTAGAATCATTTGCTTCTGCAGTGACTATAAAAGAGCCACAATAAGATGAGTCTTTTAAACCTATAATTATCATTGACTTGAAATGCTCCACCCAAAATCTTTCATTGAATTTTTATAACAAGAAGTGTAAATGAAAACTTATTTAAGAAATTAAAACCTCTTTGTCTCAAAGATAGACCACTAGATTGATACTGGCAAGAATTTTATGAAATATGTAGGTACAAATCATTTTTAGAGGGTAATTTGACTTGATTTATAAAAAATGTAAAGTTCATTTTTCAGTTCCACATCTAGTAATTTGTCCTGCAGAAGTAATCTCACAAATATGCAGACACACATAAATTTTCATTGCTATAATGCTTCAGTGAACATCCATGTAGAAGCATTTATAGGAACAGACATTTAAATTTTGTATATATACCTAGAAGTAGAATTGCTGGCCAGTATTTTTATTTTGTTTTCATGGTATTAGAGATTGAACTCATGACCTTGTGCTTGCCAGGCAGGTACTTGTGCCACTGAGCTCTGTATCCTTGGCTGCTGGCGCATAATTATAACTGTTCATTCACTTGAGAATCTGCCAGGCTGGTTTCCAGTGTGGTTGTACCATTTTACATGGCCACCAGCAATGTGCTATATCAGGGTTCTGATTTCTGTAGATCCTTACCAATGTGTATTGTCTCTCTCTTGAGACAGGGTCTTGCTATACTGTTCAGGATGGCTTTGAGTGTACTTCATAGCCCAGGCTGGTTTCAAACTCACAACGATCCATCTGTCTCAGTCTTCCTAGTGCTGGGATTACAGGCATGCACCAGCGTTTTTTTGTTTGTTTGTTTTTTAGTACCAAGGATCAAACTCACAACCTTGGAGTTGTAAGGGAGGTGCTGTGCTACTGAGCTGTGCCCCTGAGCTATCTCCCTGGCCCTACTTTTTTAATTTTAAAGGAGTGAGGTGAGATTTAGTGATAATTTTCCAGAATGGCAAAAATGGAAGTTTTCTTGGGTAGTGGGAGACTTGGGCAAAAAAGTAAAAGTCAGCCATTGACAAGGAATAAAGACAAAGGGAGGCAGAAACTGCTGGAGTAAAGTGTGTGGGGTTAGAAAGGGGAGATTCAAACGCACAGACAGGAAACCCTGCCTCTGTCAGGCTGCAGGACAGCGATTTCACTTAACATTCAGGAAGACAGGATAGAGTAGACCTTTAAATGTTGGGGAGGATAGCGAGAGTAGTTGAAGGTAACAGAAGTAGAAGTCAGGTTCTCTTTGGGTGATAGGTTCTAGAAGTTGTCTTACCAGGTTGTATTTAATTTGAAATCGTGTTTGAACACTTAGCAATATGCATGCAGCTACTTGTAAAAACCACATCTATAGTAGTTTGCTTATAAAGTTCAAAAACCCATCAAATTGTTGCCAATCAGAACAGATAGTACTGTAAGTTGATATACGAGGTTAGTTGTGTGAGGAACTTGGTCAGATTGGGACAAATGCATTCTTAGTATATTTATCAACTGTATTCTTTACAACAGTAAACTTGTATGATTCTCATTTCTGCTACCCCAAAGACTGTACTCAGCCAGTCTTGACAGATTTGCAAAAATCTGTCAAAAGGACAATTTTGGCAAAGAAAGATAAATGACGGGTTCATTTTAAGGAGTCTGCAGGGTTTATTCAGTCCACAAATATTTAAGCGTCTACTATGTGCCAGGGTCTGTAGGCTGTGGTTATAGTGGTGAGTAGACACAGGTAGACGCTGAAGGACATCTAGAGGATGAGTGAGGAGGACAGCTTCCAGAATGAACAAATATTGTCAAACATCACGAAAGCAAAAAATGTGAAAACTGGAAAATGCCATTTAATTTAGTGACATGGTAGAACAATTTTGTTGGCATGATAAGGGTCTGAAGCTAGATTAGGATGGGTTCAGAGATGAGGAGTCTGAAAAGTGGGCTTAAAGAGGGAGGAAAGTTTGGTAACAGGTGAAAGATAAAGAATTGTGGGAAAGAATTTTCTGGTTTTTTTTTTTTTTTTTTAAATCTTTTGATCTTTTTACTGGTACCAGGGATCAAACTCACGACTGCCTGCTTGCAAGGCAGGTGCTTATGCCGCTGAGCTAAATTCCCATCTCCGAATTTTCTGTTTTTATTGAGGGAAAGAGCAAGCCTAGTAGGAAGAATTGTTAAGAGGATAAAGTTGATTATATAAGAGAGAGAAGAACTAATCAGCGATACATGTTTCCTGAGGTGGAAGGAGGGGATAGAATCTTAGAGGATTAGCCAAACACAAGGAAGAGAAGTGTCTATTCATACTGGATTATTTTTGTCTTATTTATTTATTTATTTATTTTTGCACTGGGGATGGAACTCACAACCTCACGCTCGCCAAGCAAGCGCTTATACCACTGAGCTAAATTCCAGCTATTCTTACTGGAATAATAGAAATAGAATGAACTAGAAGCAGCAGGTGACTTTAGATGCCAGTAAGTTATATGGTTGCTCTGTGAAGTACCATCAGATAACATGGAGACATGCTTTCTTCCGAGTGGAAAGGTTCAGAGTAGAGATACAAATGTAAGTGTGAGGATCCATTTGAAGTTGGCATTCAGAATTTTTAACTGAGTATATCTGTCATGTTTAGTGTTGGTGGGTATAAGCTTGGAAACAAATATTTAGGATCATGTTCAAATTTAGGCTTTTAGCAAAAATATTGCTGAAATAATGAACCATAGAATGAAAGCTAAAGGGAAGAAGAAGAAAAGAAAGAAAGAAAAAAAAAAAGTTGGGGCTGGTGATACAGCTTAGCAGTACTGTGCTGCCTGGCAAGCACAAGGTCCTGAGTTTGATTCCCAGCATCAAAAAAATTAAAAAACAAGGGAGTTGAGAAGATTGGACCAAAGCATGTATAAAGGAGATACAGTTGAATTTGGGGGTCCTATTTAAGGATCTGGGGATTGAACTCAGGCCCTCACATTGGGGTGCCTTTTAAAAAATTAAGATATAGTGCCATAATGTGAATTTCACTCTTTCAAAATGTATGTTTCAGTTAACTATCACATACTTAATTCTAGAACATTTTTGTTACCCTTCCCCTAAAAACACCCTGTACCCACTGGGAGTCACACCCTACCCACCCTTAATCCCATCCTTGGCAATCACTAATCTACTTTTGATTTACCTGTTGTGTGTATTTCATTTAAGTGGAATCATGTGGTCTTTGATGTCTAGCTACTTGTATTTAATGTAATTTTTTAAGGTTCTATCCATGTAGCATTTTTTTATAATATAATAAGTATTTCATTTATGGATATACCACATTTTATGGTCTCATCAGTTGATGAACATTATTGAGATCATTGCCCTTTTTTTGCTGTTGGTAATACTGCTATGAACATTTCTGCAACTAGTTTTTGATGATTTAATTTCTCTTGAGTATTTACCGAGAAGTAGAATTGGTAGATCATGGTGGTAACACTGTTTTAGTGTTTTGGTGATATGCGAAGGTGTTTTTTACAGTGGTTGTACCATTTTAGATTCTCACCAGCAAGGTAGGGGGGTTCTGTACCCTTATCAACACTACCACTTTAGTGGGTTCATTTGTGTACTCGTATAAAACTTATTTTTGTTTAATCAAGTAGTATATGAACTTCTTCCCTGTAAATATTATTAGCATTAGATAGATCAGGCTGAAGACGCTTTGGCCTACAGCCAGTCAATTTCAATACCTTATGTAGAAAGTACAGTTGCTTTTCATTTGTAAGGCGTTTGTCTAGAACATTTGGAAATTCTTAGTGTAAGCCAGACACTGTTGCATGTGTCTGTAGACCTGCTAATCACTCCAGCAGACAACTGAGACTTCATCTGGTGGGGGGGGGAATCACCACAAAAGAGATCCTCCATGGAGACAGCTTTCATTAGTCTACCTGTTTTCATAGAAAAATTATAAGATTAGTTTTGTCCTTTTCCAACTTCTAACTGTAAAATGTGACATCTTTTAAAAATTATAATATTCATTATTCTAAAAATAAACAAGCAGATCAACTAAATGTCTTTAAAAGTTTATTGTTGGGACCGAGGATTTAGCTCAGTGGCATAAGCACCCTGCCTGACAAGCATGAGATTGTGAGTTTGATCCTTGGCACCAAAAAAAAAGTTTATTGTCTTATGTATTGCAACTTTCAAAATTACAGCTGTCTGACTTCATGTATTAAAATAATATCAGTAAAACTATATTTTTTTGTCCTGTCCTTAGTGCCTGGCTGTCTGGCTACGAAAACCCTGTGGTGTCTCGAATTAATATGAGGATACAAGACCTAACAGGACTAGATGTGTCCACAGCAGAGGAATTACAGGTAAGCCTCCAGTTATTTTTACACTACAAGGGATGCTTCCAGGGGGCTGGGGATTTAGCTTAGCGGCATAAAGCACCTGCCTTGCAAGCAGGCGGTTGTGAGTCCGATTCCCCGTACCACTAAAAAAAAAAAAAAAAAAAAAAAAAAAGATACTTCCAGAGAGATTTCTTCAAGCTGAATAGGTAGTCCTTGACTTACATTGTAGTTTGGGACTGTAAAAAGTGAGCTGAAAGTTGAAACCATGTGAAACAATTTTAATAATCAATGGAAGAAATCATGATTGTTCTGTGATGTTTCACTTTTTCTTTTTTTGGTCAAAACATGAAGAACTGTCAAGGACCAGGCATGGTGGTGAATGCCTATAATCCTGGCACTCAGAAGGTTGAGGCAGAAGGATTGAGTTGAAAGTTAGCCTGAGGCACAAAGCGAGACCCTGTCCCAAACAGACAGAACAAACCTCTGTTGAGTATAAATGTACCAGCAAATGAAAAACATGTAACCAGCACCATTGATTAGATACATTAATTCTGTTTTTCATTCTCCAGGTGGTCTACCTCTCAGGTAGCCAAAATGAACATTGATCCTTTTTTTTTTTTTTTGCTTTTCCCTTTTTATCGATACCAGGGATTGAACTCACGACTGCCTGCTTACAAGGCAGGCACTTATGCCACTGAGCTAAATCCCCAGCCCCTGAGCATTGATCTTTTAAAAATAATTTTGTTGTGAACATTCATGTACAAGGTTTTTAATAAAAATACATTTAAGTTTCTTTAGTTATACACTCGTAGAATTTGCTGGATTTGCTGGCTTATATAGCAACTCTGTGTTTAACATTTGAGGAGATACTAAGGTGGCTGTATCATTTTATAATCCCACCAGCAATACATAAGGGCTCCAGTTTCATTGCAACCTTGCCAGCTGTTCTAGTGGATTGAAGTTTCTATCTTAATGGGGTTCATTTGCATATTCCTAATGATATTGAGCATTTTATGATGCATATTAGTCATTTCTGTATCTTGTTTGAAAAAGAAGTATTCAAAAATAAGTCATTTTCAAATTGAATTTTGTGTCTATAAAGTTGTAAGTGTTCTTTATTTAAATGCTAGACCCTTGTTGGGTGAATGATTTACATACACGCACTACCATTGTAGGATTGTCTTTTCACTCTCTTGATGATATCCGTTGGCACAAAACTTGTTATTTTTTTCAATCAGATTTTATTGGTACATTTTAGATATAGTGATCACATTCATTATAGAGAATTTGTATCTCTACATGGTATAGTTTGTTTTTCTAGTCTCCGACCCTTCTACAGCTCCTCCTCTCCACCCCATTTATAAAAGCTTTGTTTCCATAGTTTTCTTCTCTTTTTTTTCACTTTTCCCTTCTTTGCTTTCCGCCTTCCCTTTTCCCCTCTCTGTTTGAACATTTTCTTCGTGTTTCACAATATCTATTACACATTTTGGTCCTTATTTGTACTTTCAGTCTCTCACATGAGAGAAACAGTGTGGTATTCACACTTGCGTCTGACTTATTTCACTTCAGAGTGTGGTCTCAAGGTGCATCCATTTCCCTGGGAAGGTGTCAAGCTTATCCTTCTTTATGGCAGAATAGTACTCCACTGTATAAAAAACTACATCTGCCACATCCAGCATAGCTCCTGAAACTTCGGAGGGAGGGTGGTGGGGGTGAAGAAAGACATGAATCAATATACAAAAGCTAAGGTCAGGTGGAGCCCTCTCTTGTGATGAGCATGTTTATTATATAATCAGCCTATGAATAAGTTTATGGAGAGTTTAAGTTTATGGAGGGTAGAATCTGGGACAGGAAGAAAATGTAATCTGTTCACAGAATAGCAAGTCTTGGTGGCTACATGGGAAACAAGGGAGAAAACTGTTATCGAGTGAAGGACAAGTCACTATGGCAACAGCTCCCTGAGCTGTGTACACTTTTCATGGAGCCTTGCCAAACTCACTAAAGGCAGTGGTGTTGTCCTAGGTACCTGAGGTACAGACAGTTTTGTTCCCAATACACATCTTCTTTATCCATTCACAAGTTGGTTGGCATTTGGGTTGTCTCAAGATTTTGCTATTAATAATTGTGCTACTATATACATGGTGTGCATATATCGCTGTGGTATGACGCTTTAATTCTTTTGGGAACAAACCCACAACGGGAATAGCTAGGTCAAATGGAAACTCTAATTTTAGTTTTTTGAGAAGTCTCCACACTGATTTCCACAGTGGTTGCACCAGTCTATACTCCTACCAGCAGTGGAGAAGAGTTCCTTTTTTCCCATAGCCCACCAACATTTGTTGTTGGTTAATTTCTTGATAATAGCCATCCTTCCAGGGGTGATGTAGAATCTCAGCATTGTTTTAATTTGCATCTCTCAAGAGACCAGTGATGTTAAATATTTTTCATATATTTGCTGTTTGTACTTCTTCACTGAGAAACGTGTATTCATCTCAGATGCCCATTTTTGGGTTGGATCTTTAAATTTGGAGGATCTGATATTTTTGCATTCTTCATATGTTTTAGATAGTAATCCTTGGAGGAACATCTGGCAAACATTTCTTCAGACTCTGTATTATGTCTGCAGTCTGTTGGTGGTTTTTCTTGATGTGTAAAAAACTTTAATCCCAGTTGATTCTTTGTAATAATTCCTGTCCAAGGGTACAGGCAACCACTTTGAAGGCAATAAGATTTACTATGATGTCCATTATGGTTTGACTATTATCTTCTTTTGAAGTCCTGTAAGGTCTCCAGTGTAGGTTTTATTGGTCTTGTACTGTACTGTTTTGATCAATTCTTTATACCTGATGATATAGGCAATTCTTTTTAAAAATAGCAAGAGGCACAATGGTAACCATTTTTGATCACCTGATACTCTATTTTTACATCATGTACTGTGCCCATCCTTCTGTTCTAACCGACTCTGTTCTGTTTGGTCACGTTAGGTTTTATTCTCTTCAAAAAACGTAGTAAGAACTGTGGGAGTAAAAAAACCCAAAAAGTGTAATTGTTATTGTAAAAAAGAGAGGAAAGGAAGGTGGTCTAAGGGATATAACTGCACGTATGTTTGAGTGTGTAGGATGGAAAACCATATTACTGAGCTTTTGTTGGATCATTGAACAGAACTGTCTGCAATCTCACTGTATGATGTCTACTTTATATGCTTTAATTTTATAATTTGGACAACTGTTTCTAAGATGACAATGTGTAACCTATTAACTAATGATTTCTTACTGTATATTTTTTTTCTTGAAATTCTGTATTATTTGTACCCTGTTACTGCTTTGGTTTTTTATTTCCTTTCTTTTTTCTCTTTAACTAAATAAATAAATAAAATAGTTCCTGTCCAATTGGGGTTTTGTTCATAGTCTTTGCCCGTATTTTCAAGATATTTACTATTCTATCTTTCAGCAGATTTAATGTTTCTGTTTTAATATTTGGATCTTTGACCCATTTTCTGCATGGTAAAAGATATGGGTCTAATTTTAATCTTCGGCATATGGAAAGTCAGTTTTTCCAGCACCATTTATTTTAAAGAGGCTATCAGTGAATCTGTTTGGCACCTTTGTCAAAGATAAAGTGGCTAAGTATGTCTGGAGTTAAAACTTGTTAATTTTGATGAAGTCTGATTAGATATCTAAGAAACCACTGCCTAATCCAAAATCACTAAGATTTATACTTATGTTTTCATCTAAGAGTTTTACAACTTTTATATTTTGTGGTGGGGCTTTAATCTGTTCCTTAAGCATTAGATACACACTATACTGTTGAGCTATCCCTCTGGCCCTAAAAATTTGATGGTTTATACTTCCATTCATATCTTTGATCTATTTTGAGTTAATTTTTGTCTGTGGTTTTGTTAGGTTGGAAGAGGTTGGATGAAAATAACTTCATTATTTTTATGTGACTATCATCATGGCCTTGGCAGTGACACTTGTCAGTTGCAGTTTAAAACATTAAAAATATTGAGAAATTCAGTGCTTTATTTATTTTTTAAAACTTATTAAGAATAATTTGTCCTCCGGAGGCAAAAGCAGAAGCAGAAGGATCACAAGTTTGAGGTCAGCCTGGGCAACTAAGCAAGACCCTGTCTCACAAAAGAGTTAGCGATGTAGCTTAGGGAAAGGTGCTGGGTTGTTATGCGTAGGACCCTGGGTTCAGTCTCCAGTTGCCCCCTCCAGACATTCTTATTTAAATTCCAAATGAAATAATTGTAAAAATGAATAGAAACTCAGGATTTTACTTCAAGTTATATATTTGGGAAATACATATCCTCCAGATATTTGCTAAAGAAAAAGCCCATCATAACTACCCTCAATTTTTCATGTTTTCTTGAAATTCTCATTGATTTTAAATATTTTTTCATTTCCTTTGCAGTATCTAACTAAATAAGAGATCAAAATGGGAATCAGGTTTTTTTGAATAATAATCTTGACAGTTCCTTCATTTATGCTTTGTTTCTTTCCTTCAGGTAGCAAATTATGGAGTTGGAGGACAATATGAGCCTCATTTTGACTTTGCACGGGTAAGTAAGAGAAATGGAGACCATAACAAATCACTGAAACTTAGGCATTAAACTGTTAAAAAAAAAAAATTCCTAACACTTGATTAAGCTTAAGTTCACATACAATGAGGAAAAGTAGGAATTTATAGCCAAGGAGCAGGGAAGCACTCAGTAAATGAAAAATTACCCAAAATGCTAGGGGAGGATTCTGGCTACTGGACCTAAGAGAGGATTCTTGTTACAGTCAGGGCAGGGAGATCGTATGTCCCCTGGGGATAGTGGAAGATGAGAAACCTGGTTAGATATCAAGGTTGATCAGATATCTAGGATTGGTGGATTCTGGCAGCACTTATTTGGCAGGACTTTGCTAAAACTAGACAATGTAGGGATGAGCACAGAAGTCAAGATATTAAAGTCTTTTGGTATTAAAAGTTCATAGCCTTATTAAAATATGTGGAAGTAGATACTCCAGAAGCCTTTCAGCAGTAAAAACACTACCCAATAGTTAGGGTACTTAGGTAAGTGCATTGGTAACCCTAGAAACAAGTAAAGAAAGTACCTAAAGGCAAAACGGAACAAAGAAAGATCTGGAGCCTAAAATTAGACAGTTAAAGGGGGCAAAATTAACGCCAAGGTTAGGGGCACATTCCTCTAGGAACCTGGGGCTTTGTGCCTTACCATCTCTGAGAGGAGCCACCACATCTGAGTTTCCACAAGGGTGACGTCTTTGTGAACAAAGGATGAGTTTGAAAATAACCTGCTTTTAGTCAGGAGCCTGAAGGAGAACAGTGTTTCTATCATGGCTAGGGTTTGTATGTATGCTGCTTCTGAGAGTTTTAAAGCTTATGCCCAGCCTCATGTGATCCTGGATTTGAATTTTACTGCTCTGGAGGAGAAGAAATTAAAATTGTACAGTTTGATAGTGTTCTTAATCTTTCTTTCTTTTTTTTGTCTTTTTTGTTTTTATCGGTACCAGGGATCGAACTCACGACTGCACACTTACAAGGAAGGCACTTATGCCGCTGAGCTAAATCCCCAGCCCAGTGTTCTTAATCTTGTAGAAACAAACTTATATCCTCCCTGCAGAAAAGCTTCTCATTCTAAGATATTTAGCTCATTCTAAGCTCAATATGCGTTCTTTTTTTTTTTTTTTTTTTTAAGTCACTAACTGGTAAGACTGAAGTAACCCAACATACATAGCCATCTCCAGGACTTTAGCTATGATAGCAATCAGACACAAAATGCAAAAAGTAAGTACAGAACATATAGAGGAAGAAAGTATGTGACAAAACTAACAAAGTATCAAAATGATGTAGCATATTTGAAAAGTAAGCAAAAGGAAAAAAAAATTTCTTGTACCAGGAATAAAACTCACAACCTTGTGCTTGCCAAGCAGGCACTGTGCCACTGAGCTCTGCAAAAGGAAATTCTCTTCAAAATTGATAATACTTAAAATGTAATGGATAAGTTAAAAACAGATAAAGTAAATTAGTGAAGCAATTATTAGACCACATTTTGAGACAGGAAAATAAAAAACATACAAGAATCTGGATGCAGTGCTGCATATCTAGTCATTCCAGCAATGTGGCAGGCTAAGGCAGGAGGATCTCTTGAGTCTAAGAGTTCCAGAGTATCCTGAACTACATAGTAACACACCATCTCCAAAGACAAAAGCAAAACGTAAAAGATATAAAGTTACTGCACTGGAGAGTAGAGTAGGTGGTACTAAAACAGTTCTTTAAAAATTTGTGTTGCTAGATAAGGACTCTTGGTTTAAGACTAATAAATATTAGGCTGGTCCGAAGGTAGTGAGTTATCTCAATTGATTGTTCACAGTCAGTACAGATTGAACTCCTTGTTCTACTCTTTCCCCCCTTCTCACTACTGCACTTGACTAGTCTTAAAAAAATATATATATATATAAAAAAAAAAAAAAAAAAAAGACTAATAAATATTGGTCTTTTGCCTGGCAAATGCAAGGTTCTGAGTTCAATTTCTGGTAACAAAACAAAACAAATGTTGGTCTATTTTACTTAATATGTTCAGCTACAAATGATATTACTAAATATTAATGTAAGGTTTGTTATACTTAAAATTCTAATGAATATGTCACATTTTTCAATAAAGGTCTTGATGTGTTACCATTATTAAACAAGCATAGATTTGGCAAAAAGAAAACGTAGTCTGTATTGTATAACAGCTTTTTTACGACTCAGTCTCAGAATCCTGCGCTCTTTTTCTATGAACACCTGCAAAGAATAGGTTTTGCTGTTAAATATGTGAGAGGAATTTTGATGATGTGAAATACTAAAGTCGCAACCCTGATGTAATAAAACTAAATTGTGTTGTTTTAGCTTTTTATTTTTGAAATAAATATTGACTCATAGGAAGGAACAAAATGAATGTGTAGGGAGGTGTCACACAGCCTTCCCATAGTGGCCCTAGTATAACTGTGGTATCCTGTCACAACCAGGAATTTGGTATTTGGTATTGTCAAAACCAGAAATATGGTTATTTTTACCCCAATAATTGTGTCAGAAATATCCAGCATACAAGTTAAGTATACTGGAGAGTTCATTCATATTTCATTGTTTTCTGTAGGTGCTCTGTGCAGTTTTTATCATGTGTAGCTTTATGTAATTACTACCACAGTCAAGCTCTATCACTGTGTCACAGGGTTCTGTTTAAGAACTCCACGTACCATCTCTGCTGCAGGTAGCCAGTCTGTTCTGTTTTTAATGTTAATTCATGAATGGAAATAGAACCATACAACATATTTCCTTTCGAGGTTGTCTTTCTTCATCCACCATAATTGTTTTGAGGTTCACCCAAGTTGTTCTATGCATCAGTAATTGTTCTGTCTGTTGCTAAGTGTATCCAATGGTATGGCTGTACCACAGTTCAGTTCAGGCAATTCTGGATAGTATTTTGGCTAATACTGATTTTAATTTATATTTAAATAGCTGGATATGAAGTCTTCAGCCTGAATAAAATGTTGACTATCCAAAAGAAAATAATAACATTAAATATTTGAGTGGATTGTGAATTGAAAGTAAATCATTGTAAATTTTTTACTGATAGAGAGCAAGTTTCATGACTATATCTAAGAGGTGGCTGTTGTGTACTATTTTTTGGAAGCTAAAATTACTCATTTTTAAAATATTCTGTAGTTTGTTGATATAGGTTCTCATTGCTTAAGAATATGGTTATTTTTTCCCCCAATATTTGTGTCAGAAATATCCAGTATACAAGCTGAATCCCGTATATAGCAAGTACTTGAGTGGGTAATGTTGACAGTAGTCTATAAATTACTGGGCACCTACTGGGATTATTGTTGGCATATTCTGTAACCTACTGCTACTGATGTTTAGTTATCATTAGAGTGTTCACATTACTGAATTTATACCACTGAGCCTGGTGGGGGGTTTGTTTTTTGTTTTTCACAGAAAGATGAACCAGATGCTTTCAAAGAACTGGGGACAGGAAATAGAATTGCCACATGGCTGTTTTACGTAAGTACTGGTTAAAAGTTTTAGATTTTTAGATTTGATCACATGATTCATTTCAGTGTGTTAAGTTTGTTTAGCTTTGCTCCTATTTAACATTCTACTTTAAACTTTTTATGGTCAAGTAAAGGTAGTTAACAATTTTTTCTATCTGCAGTTTTAAAATTTGGGAATATAGATATTCATTGTAGAAACTTGGGAAAATCTAAGGTAGTAAATTAAAATTAAAGTTACAAGAATATGATTTTTAGCATTATTAAATATTGACACATGTAAACAACCTGGTTTCTGTATGTGTGGGGGTGCTGGGAATCAAACAAAGGCCATTGCTGATGGTAAGCACATACTTTACCACTGAGATCTGTTTCTAACCTAAAAATTGGTACCATCATAAAACTTGTTCCAGAAAGGTTCTTATACTGCTAAGCTAAATCCCCAGCCCCAAAATTGTTCCAATTTTCCATTGCTTTGTACAACAAATCATCCCCAAACTGAATGATTTAAAATAATGGTCCTTGTAGTATCTCTCCTGGTTGTGAGATTGACAAGGCTCACCTGATGATTCCTGCTCTAGGTCTCTCATGCTTTAGTCTCATGCTTTAGCCCTGTAGTCTTTTTGCAGGCTGAGGCTGGCTGTCGGCCACTGTTGACTAATCCATGTGGCCTGAGCTTCCTCATGGCATTGTGACTGTATTACAAGACCAAGCATCTAAAAGGAACAACTCAAAAGTCATGGCATTTGATGACCTACCTCAGAAGTCACATAGTGTAATTCCGGGTATATTCTATTAATTAGAGCATTTACAAAGGTCTGCCTGACTTCAGGGTGATGAAAGATAGGCCCATCGCCACGTGAGATGCAAGTCAGAGTCTTATAAAGGGGATGCAGGACAGAAAGTGTTGCCCAGCAGTGGAGAGTGTATATACCTACCATGCACAAAGCCCTGGATTCATTTGTCAGCATCCACCCTGCCACAAGTGTGTAGGGTGAGACTGATCAGGATGTACTGTGACCTTTAATGTGGAAACATGTATTTTATATCTAAACTTAATTTTACTCATTTTGTCATCCTTTGTCTTAATTTGTCTTGAATTTTGTGAAACTATCTTCTGCTGCTGGCAGTATCTCATTCCCCAGCTCTCCACCTCTTTCTCTGCTCAGTCTATATCCTTGCCCTCTCTTGGCCTTGTTTCCTATTTCAAGTCCACCTTATCACTCTTTTCTCCTCCCTGTATATCTCTCTCCCTTCTTTTCTGTTTCTATCCTCCTCACAATCCCCATTTTGTTTCCAAAACAATATGAGGCACATTACTAAGATTAAAGAGAGAGAAATACCACACAGGGAAAACCAGGAGAGAAACTGGTAGTGTTCTGCTATGAAAGACTGCATACTTTCTAGGTGTGAGTTCTCCATAGAGCTGTAGTAGTTTATATCTGATTTATACATTTTTTCACTTACCAAATTGGCAATTACAGTGTGGTTCTAATCTGTATATCTCTTGTTGGAGAGATTGAGCATCTTTTTAAAAGTTTAAGAACCACTAAAGTTTCCTTTGTTTCTGTTTGTTTTTACACATATTTTTAAGGAAAAAAAATTTCATAACAAAATAATAGAATAACAATAGTTAATACAGTGTGTAATGTTATCTTCAAAGTAATTACTCAGAATATAAGGTATAGAATAAAAAAATTTTCCAAATAATATTGGCACAGATATTTTCTTTTCATTGAACTAAGAGAAACTAATAACAGTACAACTTCTTGTATTTTTTCTCCTTTCCTATTCCTTTCCTTTTTCCCCCCTCCCTAGTTTCTTTTTCCTTTTGAACAATTCTTCCAATTTGACAATATCTATTGTGCATTTTAGTCTTTATTTACTCTCTCCATTTCTTACACCAGGGAGATAATACAATGTGTCCACATGTGAGTCTGATTTATTTCACTTATGGGTATAGTCTCAAGGTGCATCCGTTTACCTAGGAAGGTCTCAAGCTTATCCTCCTTTATGCAGAGTATTACTGCATTGTATAAAGAGACTTTTTTCTATTCATTCCTCAGTTGATGGGCATTTGGGTTGTTTCCAGGATTTAGCTATTACAAATTGTGCAGCTGTTAGTATGGCTGCGCGTATATTGCTGTGGTATGATATTTTTAATTCTTCCAAGAAGATACCCAGAAAGGGTATCAGCTATTCAGCTGGGTCAAATGGGACTAATAATCCTAATTTTTTGAGGAATTTCCATACTGATTTCCACAGTGGTTGCACCAGTCTACATCCCCACCAAAAGTGGAGAAGGATTCCTTTTTCCCACAGCCCTGTCAGCACTTTTCTCTTCTTTTTTTGTATTAGGAATTGAACTCAGGACCTCGTCTTGCCAGGCAGGTTCTGTACCACTGAGCTATATCTCTGGTCCCCACAAGTATTTGTTTTTGGTTAATTTCTTGATAACAGCCATTCTTTCACTCAGAATTTCAGTGTTGTTTTAATTTGCATCTCTCAAATGACTAATGATGTTGAGCACAGTTGTGGGGAATCTTTAAACCCCAGTCTCACAATTAGATAAGTAAACTAGACACAAAATCAACAAATACCAGAATTAAATCAAATTTGTAAAGAAAAGGACTTACATGTCTACAGAGTATCCCACTTCATAGCATCAGAATACACATTCTTCTCAGCTGCACATAGGATGTTCTCCAAAATAGATATATTAACCCATAAAACATGCTTAAGTAAATGTAGAGGAATTCAAATCTCATGCATATTTGCTGACCATAGTGCAATGAAATTGGAAATCAGTGGCAAAAGAAACCACAAACACTGCGTACACACATGGAAATTAACACCCTTCTGAACAATGAATGGGTCACAGAGGAAATTAAACAGTACCTACAATTAATGTCAGTACAATAATACTGGAACTTGTGGGATGCAATGAAAGCAGTCTTGTGAGGGGAATTTATAATGATGAATTCTCACATTGAGAAAACAGAATGAGCTGAAATAAAAAGCTAATATTGAATTTCAAACTTCTAGAAAAATAACAAACTCAAAGTTCGTATGAGAGGAATTACAAAGATAAGAGCAGAAATGAATGTAATTGGGTCTAAGAAAGCAATACAAAGAATCAGTGAATTGAATAGTTGGTTCTTTGAAGATTAAATAAAATTGATAAACCTCTAGCCTCATCAAAAAAGAGGAAAGACTCAAATTGAAGTAATTAGAAAGGAAAGGGGCAAAATCACAATGAATCCTGCAGAAATCCGGATCATCCAATACCTACTTTGACAACTTGTATTCTAGTAAGATGGAGAAAACAGAAGAAATGGACAGATTCCTAGATACATAGAATTGCCAAAATTGAATCAAGAAGATAGAAAAATTCTAAGTAACACAATATCAGTCAATAAAATTGAAAATGTAATAAAAAACTTAGCAACAAAGGTTCAGGTCCTAATGGATTCACTGTTGAATTCTGCAAGAAATTTATGCCACTAATGCTGAAACTCTTCAATGAAATTGAAGCAGTACTTCTAAAACATCCCTGGAAGCAAGTATTACCCTGATACCAAAACCAAAGAAGAGCTCAACTAAGAAAAAACTATAGGCCAATCTCCCTAATGAACATAAAATCCTCAATAAGAAACTTGCAATCAGAATGTAGCAAATAATCAAGATTATATACCATGACCAAATAGAATTCATCCCAGGGATATAGGGATGGTTCACTATATGCAAATCAATAAATGTAATATACCACCATCAATAGAGCCAAAGACAGAAAATCACATGATCATCTCAATAAATGCAGAAAAAGCATTTGAAAAGTTCAACAACCCTCATGATAAAAACCATACAGAAAATTAGAATAGATAGCTTAACACACAGATCACCTGTGACAAACCAGCAATTAATGTCAGACTAAATGGTCAAAAAGTGAAAGCTTTCACTCTAAAATCAGGAACAAGACAAGAATCTCCACTATCACCACTCCTATTTAATAAAGTTCCAGAAACATAAGTGCATTTAAACAAGAGAAAGAAACAAAGGAATAAGGATAGGAAAGGAATTTAAATTATCAGCATTTGTGGATGTCATACTTTACATAAAAAACCAAAAACTCCACCAAAAGACTTCCAGATTAAGTAACCAAATTCTGTAGTATTGTTGGATACCAAGTCAACATTCAAAAATCAATAGCATCCCTGTACACAGATAACAAACCCACTGAGAGAGAAATTAAGGAAACTATACCTTCACAATAGCATTTCTTCCTCCCCCCACAAAATTACTTAGGAATCAGTCTAACAAAGGAAATATATTGAATATCACGATGAAAAGGAGATCAAAGAAGATATCAGAAAATGGAAAAATATCTTGCTCATAGATAGGAAGAACCCACATAGTGAAAATGTCCCTACTCCCAAGATTGTTATACAGATTTAATGCAATCCTGATCAAAATGCCATCAGCATATTTTACAGAACTAGAGAAAACATTCTTAAAATTCATTTGGAACCCGAAGAGACCTAGAATAGCAAAAACAATCGTGAGCAACAAACACAAGTCAAGAGAATGCTGATTCCTGACTTGAAATTATACTGCAAACCTACCATGATAAAATCAGCATGATGCTGGCAAATAAACAACTGAGGATCAGTGGAACAGATTATACACATCAGCCACCTTGTCTTTGACAAAAGGGCCAAGTGTGTTTGCTAGAAAATAGTCTCTTTAATAAATGGTACTAGAAAAACTGGCTTTCCACGTGCCAAAGACTAAAAGTAGACGTATCTCTATCACCATGCATTAAACTAAAATCAAAATGGATCAAAGATCTAAATACTAAAACAAACACTAAGTTTACTGGAAGAGAAAATAGGTTAGAAATCTTGACATAGGTGTAGGCAGAGACTTCATGAACAAAACACAGATCACGTGGGAACTACTACAAAGAATCAACTGGAATCTCACCTTACTAAAAAGCTTTTGCACAACAAAAGAATCACCAACAGAGTGAAAAGAAAACCCACGGGTGGGGGAAAAAACTTAGCCAGTTGTCCTTCAGACAAAGGACTTATATCTAGGACATACAAAGAATTGAAAAAAACCAGGCTCCCACCATAGTCAAAGACCCAGGCCAAAAATGAACATTTGCAATGAATGTGCACTTCTTAGATGAAGACACAAATGGCATATATGAAAAAATATTCCTTCTCGTATTACTTTGCTTTATGAACACTGGAGTTATATTATTTGGACTACAGCCCATATATTCATTATTTTCTTTTTAATGTATATGCCTTTCCTATTTTCCTAAATAAGTTACATAGCATTGTAATTAGTTTGGTATTAATTTTTATTACTTTATTCTATTCCCACATGGCTACATACTATTATGGATAACTTTTAAATCTCACCACGGTTGAGTTGTTAGCTACTCATTATTACATATTTATTACCACAAAGTGTCTTTCAGTTAAGATATTTTACCTTTGATTACATTGTATTTGATGTGAAGGTTATGCTTCGTGTTCGTTGGGACAGCGTTTTCCTGACAGATCTTACCTTCCCAGTGTTTCTGTGTCACTTGTTTTAGAAGCAGCTTGCTATAATGCATAGTTGGGTTTTGCATTCTGAGTGTGTCTGTGCATTGTATGTATTGCTTTTAAATCATCTTCACTGTCCGCTTCCTTTGTTTTATTTTGGTGCATGAGTGTTTTCAATTAATTTAGAGGGTTTGTGTTTTTAGTCTAAGTACCCCTATGACTAAGTAATACTTTTATCTTTTAATTTTAATATGGGCTGATTCTCTAGCATAAGATATGATAAAGCTAATTTTAGAGATTTTTTTGCTTTTAAGTTTATTTTTATAGAAATGTACCGAGCACGTCATATTCTTGAAGTACTTTTCTAGATGCTGAAGATGAACAATGAATAAAACATGAAGGGCTGGGGATTTAGCTCAGCAGCATAAGCGCCTGCTTTGCGAGCACAAGGTCGTGAGTTCAATCCCCGGCACCAAAAAAAAAAAAAAAAAGACAGATGAATAAAACATGGAAATTTTCGCCAAAATTTATATGAAGATTATCTTCCTTTTTTTGGGGGGGGGTAATTGATGTCGAACTCATGACCTTGCATTTGCCAGGCAGACACTTACATCACTGAGTTAAATCCTAGACCCTGGAGATTGCCTTCTAGTTTAGTAAAACACATATTTATACTTCTGTTGCTCGATATATTGGTTTTCAATCTTTTTCCCTCTAGCTGTTAAACAAGCTCCTATCCTGAATTATGTTTCCATCTCTCTTCCTTTTTTTAATCTGTACTTTTTGCAGTTCAGTTTATGCATATAAACCTAAAAAGCATTTTGTTTTGTTTTTGAAAAACTAAGTAGCATGCAGAACCCAGCTGTGTAAGCAGATCCATGTGTTTCCAGTACTCCAGTGTCAGGTGCTGTGCGCGGTGGTAGCTTTATCAACACCTTCTGGAATAATGCTTTCTCCTCGCAGATGAGCGACGTGTCTGCAGGAGGAGCCACTGTTTTTCCTGAAGTAGGAGCCAGCGTTTGGCCCAAAAAGGTAAGTGTGGTTTATGAATAAGGTTTTATTTCTTGTCTCTTTTTTTCCTTCTCGGAGGAAGAGACAGACCTGTATTTCATGGTCTAATTAATGAACTAGGTACATTTTTAAGTGTGGTACACGTAAGGACTACCTTATCTTTGATTATTTCTAGGAAAAGCTTTGGATTTTTATGGTACATTTTACTATTACTATTTAGCATAAATTGGTTTTTATATGATGGTTTTCTATCCATATGGCTGAAACTATGTTTGCTATCTTTGTTTTGGCAAACATTCGTTTTTTTTTTTTTTAGCAGCTTTTGGTACTTTTTCATATAATCAAGTTTTTAAAGTGATACTTTCAGAATTAAAGGAAGATAGAATGCTATGATGGAGGGAACAGAGCATTTCTATACTGTAGAAAATGATAAAGTAACATTTTATTTGTGGTAATTTTGGGTTGTTCTCCACAGGGAACTGCTGTTTTCTGGTACAATCTGTTCGCCAGTGGAGAAGGAGATTATAGTACACGGCATGCAGCCTGTCCAGTACTAGTTGGAAACAAATGGGGTAACTGTTTCCTATATTCCTAAACAAAATTTGTGAATTTTGTCTTTTTTTTTCCTGGTAGAGAACACCACCATCCATTCAATTCCCAGGATTAAATCCAGGGCCTTTTACACCAAGCTATAGCCCCAACCCTCTTAATTCATTATTATGAGAGAGTCTCTTAAGTTGCCCAGGCTGGGCTCCAACTTTTAATTACCCCCACACACACCTTCCACAGCATGCTGGGATTATAGATGTACACCACCTCATCTGGCTAATTTTTATTTCATTTTGAAACTCACCTATACCTTTAAACACCCTTCTCCCATAGCTTTACCTAACATGACATTAACACTGGATGGGATTCCACCCAAAAATTTCTGATGTTAATATAAATTTGCATTGCTCAGATTAGACTTTTGATGTCAGATTTTTTTTTTTTTTTTTTTTTTTTTGGTACCAGGGATAAAACTTGACTTTGCACTTGCCAGGCAAGTGCTTGTGCTGTTGAGCAAAATCCCTGGCTGATGTCACATTTTTAAAACTCCATTTCCATTTGTTATTCCAAGATTGACTCAGGGTTAAAGACAACAATATCTTCCCCTCAAGCAGTTCACAATCTGAGACTATATACTAACAGAGAAATCGGAATAAAGTGAGAAACCTTTCTAGAAGCTTAACTTTTGCACTTGACTCTAAAGATGACAGCAGATTTTCAGATACCAAATGAGGGCCAAGATAATTGTCATGCTAGTAGCACATAGGATGCAGAAATTAAATGGGCATGCAGGGGTTGGGGGTTTAGCTCAGCGGCATAAGCGCCTACCTTGCAAGTGTACGGTCTTGAGTTCGATCCCTGGTATCGATAAAAAGGAAAAAGAAAAAAAAAAAAGGGTATGCACAGTAAAAAAGAAACAGTTAAATTTTAATAGATATTTACCCTATATATCCATTTCAACACGTCACTTTGCACTTGTATCTACCATTACTGTTTAGGAGAGGAGTGAGGCTTACTCACCAGTGTTTAAAGATCTCCCTCAAGAATAATGTTTGTGAACCACAGACTAATAAGAGGCGGCTTAGTGGGGAGATCAGTTTTCAAGACTCCTTGTGTTGTCTAAGTGGACAGTGATGAAAGCCTGTAATAAAGCAGCAGTGAAAGGTTGGGGGACAAACAGATTCAAGAGACAGGGTTTGCTAAGTAAAGACTGGATACAAGGGTTGGTGAAGATAAAGAGCAATTGAGAATTAAGTTACCTGCTTGACTTGGTACATGCCATGATTAGGTTCCTTAATACCAGATATGAAGGAGTAGAAAATCAATTTTTGGTGGGTACGATTTTAAAAGTATCTTGGCACCGTGAAATCCTCATGGGTACATAACAGCAGGGATTTGTCAGTGGGTTGTTCTGGAGCATTCATCTTTAATGTGTCTTTGTGTAGTGAAGCTATCCTTTGAAAGCAGGTAAAAAATCTGTACCCGGGTCTTAATTCCACCGTGTCTAATTTCAGGCCTCACATTGAACACTGGAAATACACAGACTCAAATGTACCTGTATACTGCTGTATACTTATCTACATATATAAACATATACAAGATTTTCTGTGTTCCAAATTTTAAGTAGCATCTACTTTTATATGGTGTGGTCTTGAACTTTTAAGACATGTGGAGACCTTTTCATAGACCATTTTTAGAAAAGAAGGAAAACGAATAATATTTTTTTCTCTCACAGTATCCAATAAATGGCTCCATGAACGTGGACAAGAATTTCGAAGACCCTGCACTTTGTCGGAACTGGAATGACAAACTGGCTTCCCTGCCCTCCTGTTGTACTCTTAACATGTCTGATACACACAGTTCTTTGTCTTAACTTTCAAGGTTTACAATTGACTAACACTCCATGATTGATTCAGTCATGAACCTCATCCCATGTTTCATCTGTGGACAATCACTTTGTGGGTTTTCTCTTTTACAAGTAACACTAAATCACCACATTTGATAAGAGCTTAAAAGTTTAGTTGGTATAACAGAAGGCAGAGTTAAAATGAAAATTGTATATTTTAAACAACTTTTTGGCTGGGCAATACAATTTAAACATCTGTTTTAGTATTTCATGACATCCTGACTGATGCATAGTGGCCAGAGTGGGCTGTGTGGAGGAAGCAGATGCTTTCCGGTTGGTAGCTAGCTAAGTGTCGTGCTGGCCTATCTTCCTTGCAGCTTGTTTTCTGGGCCTGCTTGAACCCCAGTAATAAATTAGGAATCCGACCTGGACTGTAGGTAATGTTTTCCCCTTCGTACAGTATTGTAAATTGAGTTTTCCCTACATCCATTTTAAAGAAAGTATATTGTATTTTGCAGCTCTCTGTGAATTAATCATGTTTGAATTAAAATAATTCTTTTTTTTTACAACAGAAAGCCCTGCATAACAACAATAGGCCTTCTTAGTATGCTCATTAGTCTGTTCTTCCTTGTTTCTCTTGACTGATGGTTTTTTCTCAGTGCCAATACTTTGCCTCTGACTCCTCCTACAGCAGGGTGGTGATACTGGCATTCTGATGAAATATTGTGCCTTAGGAGACTGGAAGTTTAAAAATGTACAGGTCCTTTCAGTGATGAGGGAATTGATTTTAAAAGAAAATCTTTTTTCTTAAAAAACCAAAATGTTTGTTTTTTTAAAAATTCTGAAATGTGTTGACAATAATGACCTATTTATGATCTTAAATTTTTTTTAAAAATGTTTCTGTTTTCTGTGTGGTCTTTTTCATATTTAAATCTGAATACATGATAGGGCAATAGTAGGTTAATTCTAATTTATGTTACTTCTGTAATACATAGGAACTAGGTTTACAGTCTTGTTTTGGTTTTCACTCATACTGATACCGCATCACTATAGAGGAAAATTATAAATCTCTGAAACTTCCAAGAGTATAATCAATCGAGATGCGTTTTGGATAAGCTGAGGGTGTATTTGGTGAAGAGCTTGACTGGCACAGGCCCTATGTTTGATTCCTAGGAGCATGAAGAAGGAAGGGGTTTTCTTTCAAGAGGCTCCGCCATGGAGATGGAGTTACTGCACTAATGGTGGCCATGGCTTTCTCTTACTTAAACATAGGTATAGCAGTAACAAAGATGTTTCTACTAATTTAAACATGGTAACTGATCTTGTAGGCATTATTTTTAGCCAAGTATAGAATGAACCGTGAGGTTCCTCTTTGAAGGAACTGTGAAGTTACACTTAGCTCCATCCTAAGTATTTTAGTAAAATACTGAGAATTAAATTCATCACTATTGTCCACTCAAATTGTGCAACACTAGGTGATCTTAAGAAAAACTTTAGGCTGGGAGTGTAACTCTGGTAAAGTACAGATATTTAACATGTGTAAGGTCCTGGGTTTAATCCCTGATGCACACGGCTCTTTTTTTAGTCAGGATGGAAAGAATAAGAGTCACAAGTATAGAAATGAAACAGGTTTAAAAAATACAGAATAAAATTGTCATGCTTTAGCAAATAGAAAAAAAACCTACTGCAAAAGAAAAGTCCATGAGGAATCCTGATCTTACAAGTTTCCATTCTGTTCAGCTCAGAATCACATAAGGAGATTGGAAACCTCTTCAGCATTAGAACCTAAGGAGCCCTCCAGACTTTCATAATTACTGGTGATTTTTCTTTCCAAGTTGGGCGGTGGTTCCAATGCGAAGCACTGAGTCCCGTTAACACAGTGTTCTTCATGCTGTGCTTTGAAAAAATGAGAACTAGAACTATCCTAGAAAATGTAAGTTTCTTCATCAGTTCTAAGCCTGTCTTTCGGGACCACAAGTTTTGTCATGCACTAACTTAGCACCAGTAAGTATCCACTAGAACATACTCAGTAGCAAGTAAGTTGTGAGGTAGCTAGGTAAGAACCTAGTAAGATTATAAAAAGAATGAGATGACTGTGTGATTCCTTGGCTAAATGATAAATGCAGCATTGAAAGCAATAGTTGACCATCTACTTCAGTAAAAATAAAATGGTCACTAGAGTATGAGAGTGTTGGGAGCTGTAAGCAGTAAAAATAAACATGATTACACAAACGGTTTTGTACACATGTACGTGTGTAAGAATGAAAGAAGACTCCACACGGCATGTGTTGCAAAGTCCACATGGACGTCTGCTAAAACCTTACAGCTGAAAAATGAGCAGTTTATGTGTAGGACACCATGGCTAGGCAGCCGAGTGACTGGGAGACTTACCGGGTACCACTGAAACTCTCAGTTGGTTTCCCAGCGTCCTAAGTTCCAGCATGGTTTGGATCTCAGGAGCTGCTGCTGGTTCTCCCCTGGAAGGTGTAGTTAACTCTTAAGACATAAAATAGCTTATATAAAAGCTTGTTTTATTTTTACTTTTAAAAAGCAAAAAGGTTCTATGACATAAAGCACCTTTTAGGTTTTATCATGAGACAAATCTTTACTAAAACTAGTGCTCTTTCCTACAAAATGGAATGTTAACATGGTTATTCCAAATGTACTTAACATACTAGATACCCTATATGAAGTGAACAAATTTCTTGGATAAGACAAATTACTAAAATCTGTTCAAGAAGAAACAGCCCCCTATATCAAGGAAAGAACAAATATTACTACAAAGCAAAGTTGAGATGGCTTCACTGGTGAATTCTATCAGATTTGTAAAGGAGAATACCAATCCTACACAAACTGCTTCAGAAAAGGATGGAAAGTTTCCTACTCATTTTAAGAGATAAGCATTGGGGGCTGGGGATTTAGCTCAGCGGCATAAGCGCCTGCCTTGCAAGCAGATAGTCGTGAGTTCAATCCCCGGTACCGATAAAAAGGAAAAAGAAAAAAAGAGATAAACGTTACCCTGGTAACCCTTCAAAGGAAGAAATTATCAATTGGAATCTCTCATAAACAGATACAAATATCTTAAAAAATATTAGCAAATCCAACCCAAGAATAAACAAATGCCCAAATTGGGATTCTGAAAAAATATGAGACTGGTTTAACATTCAAAATTCAGTGTACAATGTGCATATCTAATCCCAGCTTCTTGGGAGGCTAAGGCAGGACTGCAGCCTGAACAATTTAGCAAGACCCTGTCTCAGAATGAGGAAAGACAAGAGCAGAGGGCATAGCAAAGTAGCACACCCCTAGTTCAGTCTTCAGTACTCAAAAGAATACATGTCACCAAAGTAGTAGCAGGATAAAGGAGAAAAAGTACGTTACCAATAGATGCAGAGAAAGCATTTGACGATATTCAACACCATGGACAATTTTTTAAAAATTTTATTTAAGGAGAAAAAGCAGAGAAAGGGTACAAGATTATACAGATTTACAGAAAAAAACAGTAGGAAATCACTAGTTAATGGATTACATATTGTCATCTTAGAAATAATTGTTCAAGTCACAAAATTAAAGCTTGTAAAGTGGACATTCCAACAGTGAGACTGCAAACAGTTCTGTTCAATGATCCAATAAAACTCAGTGATACCATTTTCTATTTTATACAGTTAAATATACATGCAGTTATATCATTTAGAGCATTTCCTTTTCCTCTCTTTTGTACAATGACAATTACACATTTTGGGTTTTGTTACTCCCACAGTTCTTATTACTTTTTTGGAAGGGAGTAGAACCAAATGTGACATAACAGAACAGAGTCAATCAAATCAAAAGGGTGGACATAATAGATAATGTAAAAGCATAATACAAGGTGATCAATAATGGTTACCATAATGCCTCCCGCTATCTCTAATAGAATTGACTATATCATCAGTTATAATAAAATTGAACAAAACCATAAAGAACAAAACTGACAAAACCAAAACATTGGAGACATTGTAGGTCTTCAAAAGTAGATAAAAGTCATCGAGAATGGGCATCATAATGAATCTCACTATCTTCACAGCTGTTGCCTAAACTTTCGAACCTGGAACTATCAAGCAATGCAGAATAGGGGGACATCAGTCAGAAACAAGATGGTGAGAGTAATACAGGGCTTTAAATCAAGATAATGGAAAGTCAAAGTGGGTTACTATAATATATCCTGCTATTTTTATTTATTTTTCCCTTAATTAAAAGGATAAAAATAAAAAAGTAAATAATGGAGTGGAGATTGAGATAAAAGAGGGCATAACAGCAAAACAGCACAGATCAAAACATAACCATTTAAGCAGAATAGTGTTTCACCACAAGATAATCCTGACATAAAAGTAGTTACCATATTGTCTCTTTCCTTGAAATTCTTGAGTACAACTTCGTATACTGTAGCATTAAGTATATCGAAACAATGTAAAACCATTTCAGAGAATGACAGCATTACAGGGTATTTAGAATCAACTAACAGAAAATGAACAATGGTTTCTGTATAATCTCCTTGTCTTTAAAAGTTTTTGCTTATACTATCGTACATAATAAAGTCCAATAAGGTACAACCTGTTTAGACCAATGGAGACAGAAGAACAAAAGCTTGATGAGACTTCAAAACACGATGATACTAAATCAGTATTACCTATTAAGACGTCATTTTCTCCAAAATAGCTGTTCCTATCATCCAATCTTCTCTGCCTCATTTCTGTTGAGCTCTTTTTCTGTCATTAGTTGTCAGTTTGTCTTCTTCATTTTGTTCTCTGCTCCATTCATTGTGGCCTCTCTGCCACTATTTCTGGATTCTTTGTGTTTTTCTTTTTTTAGAATATCCTGCAATACTCTCTGTGGAGTTGAATTGGTGGTTGCATATTCCCCTAGTTCCTCTTTATCCTGGAAGCACCTTGTTTTTCCATCAATTTCCAGGGACAGTTGTGCAGGATATCTCAATTTTGGCTGGAGATTATTATCTTTCAAAGTCTGAATTATTTCCCCCACGGTCTTCGTGATTTGATGGTTTGTGTGCAGAGAAATCTGCTGTAATTCTGATGGGGGTTCCCTTGTAAGTGGTCTGTTTCTTGTCTCTGGCAGCTTTTAATATTCTGTTCTTGTATTGAATTTCTGGAATTTTGATTATTATATGCCTGGGTGTAGCTCTGTTTGGGTTGTAGGTGGCTGGGGTCCTGTATGCCTCATACATCTGAGTATCTTTACCTTTTGCTAAATTAGGAAAATTCTCCTGGATTATTTCTGTGAGTAGCTTTTGTAGTTCATTTGTTTGTGTCCCTACTTCTTCTTTTATGTTCTTAATTCTTAAGTTATGGATCCTCTTATCATCTTCTTGTCTTTGTATTATTGCTGTTTGTTTCTTTGTTACTTTTACGAAGTTTTTCATTTCATTCTCCCATATTACAAATCTGCCCTCCAGTTCAGATAGTCTGTCCTTAGTTTCTTTCAAGCTGTTATGCCAGTTTTCGATAGAGTTTTTAGTTTCCTGGTAGTCCCTTTGTACCTGCTTCACGTATTCTATGCTTTCTCTATTTTCTCCATCAAACAATTCTCCCCTCTTTTTCTGTTCTTCCATTCTACCATCTGTTTTTTCTTGGGTGGTGCTTAGCATTTCTCTAACTATTCTGCTTACTTCTAGCTTCAGGTCATTAATAACTTCATTCCTGAACTAATCTATGAGGCTCTCTAGATGGCGCTTTATGTCTATTGGTGTGGTGTCCGCTATTGCCTGTTTCTCAGAATTGGGAGCCGAGGATCCTTTCTTGTTGCTGCGTCTTCCCATATTCTTTGTTCCTTATATATGCAAGCTTATATAGGAGGCCCAGCTTCCCTCCCTGTCAGCCACAGCCTGATCGACTTGCGCTGGC